CCTCCTCTTCCTCTTCCTCCTCCTCCTCGTCTTCCTCCTCCTCCTCCTCCTCCTCCTCCTCCTCCTCGTGCTCGTCAGCCTCCTCTTCGTCGCCGGCCTCGTATGGCGCCTCACTCAGCTCCACAGTCACGTTGCTCTCGATGCTGAGCAAAGCCTACGAAGCTGTACATCCGCTCCGGCGACTGATGCCCTCGGCCGGACACGGAGCCGGCAAGACCGAGGCAACATGGGCTTGGCCGGGTCTGGTGGCGGAGAACACGTGGTCACAGCGGACAGTCAGAGTGAGTGTTTCATGCTGCCGGCCGGTCGTCAGCCAGGCTTGCGTGGCATCAAGAAATGTTTATGTTGTGGTGGCCGCCATTTTGTTTGATGTATCCGTTGTCGAGACGAAGAATGGCGGAAACACTCAAGCAAGACATTTTCTGCAAGACATTGCGGTACCAATTCCATATCCGATGCGTCCGATTTGTGGATGTTACGCAGGTACCGGTCAAACAGAATTTTCCCCATCAAAAATGGGCCCAATCAAGTCATAGCTTTAACCAAGAAGAAGAGAATCTCGTTATCTAATAACGTCACTTTTGTCCATAAAAGTCTCGAGTCAAGAGTTCTAGCCAGCTTGTGTTGCTTAAGCTAATGAAGTAGACTTTTCCCACATTCATGGGGGGGCAAACTTCAATTCTGAGTGAAAATGTGTTTGATGATGAGACTTGAAGGCGAATCCCACCATAAGACAACAGCAGCTCTACCAAAACATTCGTATTCGAATCCTGTGAAAACATGTTGCGTGTATGTGTGCGTATATGTGTGTGTGCGTGCCAATGTTCGTGTTCAATGCTGACTGTAAATTAGAGTTATGAAGAAAAAGTGGGTTTTAAAAAGTTCCTTTATGAAATATTATAGCATGACTCTCTATTTTCGAAGAGGAAGTTAGTTGGAAAATAAAGACAAATTCGTCAACTCGAGGCATCGCCCGAAATGCTAATGTTGTTGTGGCCTCCATTTTGTTTGATGTAGCCGTTGTCGAGACGAAGAATGGCTAAAACACTCAAACAAGACATTTTCTGCAAGACATTGCGGTACCAATTCCATATCCAATGCGTCCGATTTGGGGATGTTACGCAGGTACCGGTCAAACTGAATTTTCCCCATCAAAAATGGGCCCAATAAAGTTATAGCTTTAATGAGGAAGAAGAGAATCTCGTTATTTAATTACGTCACTTTTGTCCATCGAATTGTTGAGTTAAGAGTTCTAGCCAGCTTGCGTTGATTAAGCGGATGAAGTAGACTTTTCCCACATTCCTGTAGGAGCAAACTTCCATTCTGAGTGAAAGTGTGCTTGATAATGAGACTTGAAGGTGGATCCCACCGTAAGACGACGGCAGCTCTACTGAAACATTCGTATTCGAATCCTGTGAAAACATGTTACGTGTATGTTTGTGTGTGTGTGTATGCTAACGTCCGTGTTCAATGCTGACTGTAAATTAGAGTTATGAAGAAAAAGTGGGTTTCGAAAAGTTCCTTCATGAAATATTGTCGCATGACTCTCCATTTCGAAGAGGAAGTTGGTTGGAAAATCAAGACAAATTCGGCAACTCGAGGCATCGCCCGAAATGTTTATGTTGTTGTAGCCTTTATTTTGTTCGATGTAGCTGTTGTCGAGACGAAGAATGTCTAAAACACTCAAACAAGACATTTTCTGC